TTTAACGGAAGGACCAAATCGGGGTAAAAATGGTAAACAGTAGGGACCAAATCAGGGATTTTTTTAGTTCAGGGACCAAATCGGGGGTCCGTACAATAGTTCAGGGACCAAAAAGGGGTTTTAACCTTATTATTATTATTAGTATTGGTGAAATTTGAATGTTTATGTTGGAAGTCTTTTTTTCAAATTCTAAAATAGATGGAGAAAGGGTTTAACAAGGGTGAGTTATCTCATATTATATGAGTAATAATTCTTTGTATCAAATTTTAAAATAAAATTTTGGTTAAATCCCCTATCTCTTTTGTTTTATCAAATGTTTATATAAAACTATTTAGATATTATTAGTTTTAAAACTATTGTTTACTTTTATTAAAGTAAAACTAATAAGACATTTACTTTTGCATACTTTAAAATTAATCTTTTTTCAAGCAGTTTTAAGGACATATCATTCACATCAACTTGGTGTATTAAAAAATATTAATATTTTTAAGTGTTGACCCAATCAATTGAACTCTAGATGGGACCTATAAGACGATACTTGTATATTAGTGGATTCAACCATTTGACTTATTATATAATATACTCTTAATCTATGCCACAAAGTTGTAAACTTTTTTCATTAAAAAGAATTTATAAATTAAAAAAAAATATTTGCAAAAGCATCCACTTGTGGACAACATTCAAATGAGAAGAAAATGAACACGGTAAGTAATTAAGGAAAGCGACGGTCAAATGCCAATACCAATCAAAGTGAATGGAAGTCCCCACTCCCCACGTCAAATGACCCCAAAGCACGGCAAATGCATTGCCTATTTTCAAAAAAAAGAAAAAAAAAAAAAGAAAAAGAAGAAGAAGAAGCACGGTAAATGACGACTTTGGAGATCCATGCCAAATTTCAATACCAATAGTAGTACTAATGCAAGTTCATGGAAGGTCCACCGCACAAGTCCCACCAAGGAAGAACCAATTCACGTTCCAATACTAATCAATGTCCCCATTAAAACCTTTGACTAATACATATTATCAATGAATTATTTTTGAATTCTACACCAACTCGAACTAGGGAAGCAGACTTTTATTTTACACCATGTAGAATTAATTCATCATAATAACCACCTGTGCTACCAGTTCTTTCACACCTTTCTCCCAAATGGAAGATATGAGAGATTCAATTGTAGTGCCACGGATTGTGAGGATGGTTATCAAGTTTCATCCATTATTGATAGTAACCAGTCTTATCTATCGGGTAATACTTTTGCAAGATTGGATTGAAGATGAGGTGAGCAATCAATGGAAAGCTCTCAAGGTGTATTTGCAATCGATAACGAGATCTCTGCTGGATCCTATTATTGAGAAGATGAAGAATCTATCGGAAGCCCTAGAGATGCATCTCCACAATGAAGCAGCAAAGGGTCAACTAAAGGCCAAACTAGTCGGTAAACTTGCCATGTTCTCTGCCATATTTCTCTTACTGAATACAGAATTAAGTTCAAAATATGATAGAAGAGGAGTCAAAAGGCAATTATTGATGCTTATTGGCCTTGGCCTGTTAACACATTCAAAACGTTGGAGTCAATTTAAAATTCTTCATGGAAGGTGCAACTGCATGATAAATTCAATGTCAAACTTCACCTTCTTTATTATAGCACTTCTTTTTGCAAAATTTTATGATAATTCCTTGAGGGGCCTCAGTGCTATGTTGTGCATCTCAGTTTTTCTTTTATGTGTACTAGTGGTATTACGACCGCAAACAGACCTTGGGTTGTTTAGTTTTATTATTGGAGTCATTGGATCTATTACTTACAACCGCTATGAGTTGAAGTTTCCCACATGGATAATTGCTTCCATCTGTTTTGTGTTGTTCAGTTTCAAGAGCTGGTTAGATAAGTACTGGTTGAATTTGGAAGAAGATCCTGGTACAAATACCACAATTGAAAGTGCTAGCGTGTTTTTTATTCTTTCATCAACTGCTACATGTTTCGCACATAGTATCTTTGTGTCTTCTACTATCAAATCTCCCCTATCCAACTATAAAAATTGGTTAGTAAAGGCAATTGTTATCGTGCTTCAAAGTCTCCGGTTCTATTATTCCAAAGATAGCTCAATGCCCTCTACAAATACCAAAGGAATCAATGGTTTGACTTTGATGGTTGTAAATATTGCATGTGGCATGTTCTGGTTTACTCTTACCACATCTCCCATGGCCAATTATAAAGATTGGTTATTTGCAGTAATCATTTATGTCATTTTTTGTTTTTGGTTACGAAGCTTTTTTCCCAAAGATATGTTTCCGTCCTTTACAAATACCAAAGGAATCAAAGAGAAGATTTGTGCTATTCAATCTATTGCCAGATATGGTATTGTGGTGTTGGCTGGTTTGGAACCCCGAGTGCACTATAGAGAATGGCTAGTTATGGTAACCTATTATGTGGTTTGGTGGGTTCAGCTTCGTACATCATTTCCCAAAAATCTGTCACTACTGCTCAACACAATTGAATTTAAAGGTCAATGGTGGATACTAACGGTATTAGTTACCATTGTTCCAGATGTCATACCGTGGATCAAACTATCTAGAACAACATATCATCAACAACTACAAAGGTGAAAATGTTAGACACTAGCTTAAATCATAGTAAGTACTTAGATACATGAAAATTTTTAGTCTTGAGTCATTCTCTTTTCAAGTATGTGTTTGTATCCAATGTCCTTATTAAAATCTGTAATTTTTTAGTCATTTGTGTTTTGTTCATTTGAATTTATTGCTGTTGGTCTTTTTTTATATAGATATCAAAATTGCACACCTTTATCTTATTTTAATTTAAGGAGAATGGTTGTTTTCCATCTATTTGTACATACTAAAAAATTGGATTTTGTACAACCTAACCTACATGTCTTGCATTATGACTGTGTAAGTTGTTTTGAAGGATCAATCCTAGAGAAACTCTGTTTTCCTTTGGAAAAAAGATTCAAATTTCATTATGAAATTGGAATGACTTCATGACACTTGTGATAATGCTTGAGAAGGGAGGGAGAAGCCCAAAGTGAGGGAGAAAGACCTAGGGGAAGGGGAGGAAGAAGAGAAGATTAATTTAGAGTGGGTCCCATTATATTAAATTTAGTTTATTAAGAAATAGTAGTTAAGATAATTTTATTTTTAAAAGTATATTGTAATAGAGTAAGGTTAATTATATTTTTAAAAGGATAATAGAATTAGTACTACTCCCGTGCTTAGGATCAAAAAAAGAGTTATTATTAAATTGGGTGAGTTCCATAATATTTAAATTAATTAGTAATTCTTTAATTAATATACTATCAAAATTTGCAAAAAAAAAAAAAAAAAAATTTAGGTTTAAAAATATACACCTCATTACTAAAATAATATTAGAATTTCCATGTAATATTTTAGCTTTAAAATTTTGCATTTTTGGGTCACTTAACAATCCATGTCGGCTGAAAATTAAAGATTAAGGATGATTTTGGTAGTTTTTGAAGTTTAAGTACCAACTCAGTCCAAAACTCAGAGTCAAGGGACTAAATTGGAATTTAACCTAAAATATTTTCACCCATTGATGGTTTGTAGTATGAATCTCACAAAACATGATCAATGGTTACCATAAATACATCTGAAATCTTGGCTTTAATTAGAGTATCATTAGCTCTGTTGTGTACCCATTATCCAACATATGAAAAAAAATTCCTTTTTTAACATTAAATTTCTTTTATATATATATATATCATTACATTTGCAATTATAATCTCTTATTAATAATTTGAAAAGAATGAATATTTAAAACCATTTATTTTTTAATTTATTTTTTAATTATAACGAGTCAACCATGCATATAGGAAAATCTATGTAAATGTCTTATCTCGGAAAAAATATATCAAAGAAAATGTAAGAACCTTTCCTGCTTTTTCTCTCTTTGTATTGGCACTAGAAGAAGAAAAACTGATATCAACATACAAAAATCAGGCTTTTCTTTTTCTGTTTCTTCCCACTAGATTCTTCAACGAGGGGAGCGCTGCATTGCCGCATATTCCTCATCCATATATGTCCTCCATAAATAAGAAAATAAAGGTAATGGAAAGCAAATTGCATGCAATACATCAACAACAACAACCAATGGAAGTTGAATAGAAAAATCTGAACCAGCGCTTCATTCCCACCATGAACAAGCATGTCTTCTGTCTTGATGAGGACCAGGCCCTGCCTGATCAAGCATCTAGCAGGATCCGATCTTCTGGCCACTTGGAATATGCACGCTTGTATAGGCTCAAGCATACAGTGTCATGCTGCTGAAAGACCCCATTGAATACACATTTCATTATCCCTGAGAAACACCAAAAAGTCAGTCCTTAACACATTGGGAAAGAAGTCCAAAGAGATAACCAAGTCCGAATATGTTCTTTTTGGACAGATATACTTGCAGTATTTGCTTTTACGAAAAAAAAAAAAAGGTCTAAAATAACTACTAGAAAACCGTGATTGTAACATAGATCATTAGGGGCCACAATAAAAGCTAGAATTTTAAGTTTCCCTTATTTATTTCTTGTACATTTCTTTGCCAGTCCCTATAATCTTTACGATCAAACAGAAGGCTTCTTACTCTTATGACCTGGAATTCTAATCGTAGCAAATTGAGATGCAGCTCTATTCATTTTTTCAAGTGAAGTAGCACATATCATGAGTACCAATAGGTTCCTTGATTCGACCAAGGCGGCCACATTTTGTCCAAACTTCAACAGGCCACAACCACCCAAATAAAGAATTTCAAATGTAATAAAATGTATAATGATTCTTTCATCATCTTATGACCCTTGAAATCAAGTATAAGACTATCTTACCTTGAACCATCTTACATCCTCTGGGTTATGGAACATATACCTTACAGAGGCTTTTAATTTTGACACTCGTTGAGGATAACTGCATCAAAATATAATGAAGGCTTATGACACAATTGTACGAGGTATCTAATAAAATGTGGTCATGTTAAAAAAAGAGAGAAGAAAAAGGCAAAGTAGAGAATTTCTATATCATTTAAGATCACCATGATTAAACAATTGTGCAAGATAAAAAGTAAAAGATCATACCCAGTTAAGATCATCTTCTTTAGAATTATTCTATCTGGGTCGATATTTTTCAAGGATCCAACTGCTGCCACTACAGGTACGCTGGCTTCTCCTGAAGCCTTCAGGGCTATCAAAGGAAGAGATGGAAAAGAAATAGGAGCATACATTGAAGCCATGGAAAAACGACTTGTATGAAGAAATCTTTCCATCTTGTGTTTGTCTGAATTAAAGTTGTCAGTAGAAAATACTGGCCTGCAAGCAACCGAGAATGCTCACAAAACTTCAATATGAAATCATAGAGCCCAAACTAAGCCTTAAGGAGCAAATAAATCCTTGTTACCTAGCAAGGAACTGGCGGAAGCCAACATGAAATATCAATTCTTCTTTGCTCTTGATAGGGGCATCATAACTATTATGCTTCTTTATACTGCAATCAATAATAGAATCATATTATGAAAGAAAAAGACACTCAAGAAATTTATACTTATTAATTAAGAAGCAGAAGAGGACAGATTAAGAAAAATTTGTGATTAGATACCTGAAATGAAGGACAGACATCTTTGATTCATGTTGCAAAAGGCCACATGACACAATGGGTATTGTCCTAGCAAGCAGGCAAAGCTTGGAAGCAACAGAAAGAGGCACTTCCTTAATATGAAGCCTCACATATGAACCAGGAGGTGCACAGTCATCTCCTTCCTCCATTTCTAAGGCTTTTGCAATCACATGCTTTTGTGTTCTTGAGAAGTTATCAAAAGCAAAAATTCGGGCATATTCTGGAGGTAGAGATTCCTGATAATCATCAAGAGAACTTTTAACAGAGTGCACTTGATGATGAAGAAATATATATAATACTTGAACAGATATCATGATTACATTACCTTGGGGTCCCGTGAGGATGTTCTGAATGATTTGAGGCCCCTATACTTGGCAAAGCGCTTTCTAGCAGGAACGTCTAAAGGAGTGTCCACTTCATCTGGAAATTCTGAAACATAAATTTTAAGAGCTAGCAATTAATTGTCAAAGGATTTTATTTTTGGCCAGAAATATATTGGCAATGGATAAGCACCTAAAATATATAGGTAAAAGGAAAAGCTTGGTTCTACCATACTGACTTAATGATCTAAAAATACTGAAGAGAAAAGGCCAGTGTTTTTTTGTAAAAACAAGATTGAATTAATTTTTATTCTCTTCCAATGTTACTTTAGGGCTTCCCAAGGCTGCAGATGCCAGTAAATGGACCAAATCAATCCATCATGGATTCTAACATGCCAACTCCCAGCAACAACTAAATTTATGTAAGATTATACACTTGCCCAAAAAGTTGATAACAAATAAAGTCATTTCTTGTTTGCCAGGATAACAAATAAATTGATAATCCATGAAATTGTAGTCTTAAATAGAGAGATACCCTCATCTTCAGCATGCGCCTGTTTAATTTTTTGAATGTCTTGCTCTCATTGTTCCCTTGTCGAGTTCTCTCCTTCCTGTATGGAAAAAGAAAAGTTTACATGCAGACATCTAAAAACTATACTTATTATGTCATGCATTGTGGAGTGCTTTTTGAAAGCTGGGAGATTACATATTGTTTATTTCTTCCAAACAAATAAGATAAAATAATAAGAAAAACAAGAGAAAACAAAAGGACAAAACACATATATTAAAAAAAAAAGATGAGACCCTTTCTTAGCACAAATGTGTAAAAGGAAATGGATTCCATAGATCATCCACGTCACACTAGCATTTGGGATGGACATTGATGAGTTTGAACTTTAAAGAGCAAGTTAGGGGTGGATTTTGGTGCTATAACTAGCTGTGAGCATGAGAATTGCACATAATTTTAAATGCAAGAAGTAAAGTTAGCAGATTGGTACAAGTGCACTGAAAAAAGAAGGGTTGAAATGAACCAGGTCAGCAGCTGATGGCTAGAACTACAGGTAAAGCACTGTTTTGGTGCAGGCCACGGGAGTGGTAACAAAAAACTCTACATGACATACACTAAACGAAGTTAACATTACTAAAGACTCTGTACACAAAGGGTGTATAGAACTAATGCAACTATGTGCCATACCATCATGACTGAATCATTTTCAGTTTCATCATCTGAGTCCCTTAAGTTTAAGGAAGCTTGGTCTTCCTCAAAGTCTTGGTTATTTGTACCACCTTGACTGTGAAATCCACTTTCTCCTTCATCCAATACCATGCCATCATCGTCATCATTGTCAGTGTCAGAATCCTCCTCATCTGTATTGTCTACAATCCAAGCAGCCTGAAAGAAATTTGATCAATTGGTTAAAATTAGATCTTTAAAAAAACACACACACACACACACACACAAATTTTAAACTAGAGAAGTCGAAAAGAAGGACATCCCAACCTGATATTCAGAAGTGCCAGGAGGAAGAATTCTCTTTCTTTGCATTTTTTGTTTTAGGTTTCTATCAGCCTCAGCCATTTCTGCTTCTGTTGGCCATGTCTGTTCAGGAGAAAGATGAAAAATAAAATAATGACAAATAGCAGTTAGGACTCCATGAAAATCAAATTGCTAGACAAGGTGAAGGAAAACAATGTGAAATAATCACCTAAGGTTGGATTCTGGCAACTAGATTACCTTGTCAATGACAACTAAAACAGACTGCTTGGCAAAGAAAACAATGTGTTTTTTATTTTAATCACGGTTTTCCGTCCTTTTACATATATTAGGAGAAAGAAGGCTTTTCTTTTCCCTGTTCTAAAAAAAAATATTATGGGGCTCTTCCTTATTAACAAGTTTAAGACGGCCAGAACTTCACCCCATAAATTAAGTTATAAAAGCTTTGATCCTTCTCCACATTACCTGTTCTCCAGCAAGAGTATCTGGAACATTTTCAACAAGTAAAGGTTCCTGCTTCAACAGATCAGGAGCTAGGCAACAAATGACCTAGAATTTCAGAGAGAATATGATATATGGTTCAAGCAGTATCAAAGAGTGAAGAAGACATTAATAAGAGCTTCATCATCACTATATCAGTGTAAATATCAAGGAAAAAAAATTGAAAGATTGTCTGATGTCATGTCCACTGATAAGGTAGAAACAGTATACGAGATACAAGGAAAAGAATTGGTAACACACATAAACTCAAGGCCCAAAGCTATTGAGAACATTCTGTAGGAAATATGAAGCAGCTGAAGGAGAGGAACAGAATTTGTTGGTCATGATCAAAAGTTTCAATTCCTGCTCTTTTCTTGCATTCAGAGGAAATGGATCTTTTAGAATTTCAATTTTGGACAGCTAAAAATCCCCTGCACCAGAAACATGGACCTGACATGAAGCAAAAGAAAAGTATGACACAACTTACCAGATCATCCCAGAGAAAATGAAAGTGGAAGGCTAAACTAATTACCAACTGATTCACTGAGAGGCTGTGTGCACGCATATAACCAGTGAGAAGCCGAATACTCTTTCCTGGACTGGAATCATCAGGTACTGTAACAAACTAAAATGTAGAGGTAAATGGAATTAAACTTCAGAGGGTGTCCAGGAAAATAACCAAAAGGAAATTAATAGCAACACAAATGGATTTAACACCAAGTAATCCCAATATCAACATGTTACTCATCTTCTCTTTACGAGAGTTAAACAACCCTCCAACCCTTTCACATTGTGTCCATCATACACTACATATGGTACAATAGGCTATAAGGCTAAAAGATAAAAGTTAAAAACAATTGGAAAACTACCTCTTGTGCAATGAGGTAAGGACACGGATTTCGCCAGTGAGGTGCTGTGAGCTCCTGCTCCTTAAAAAGCCACATAAACTGTGATACAAATGTAAATGTAAACAATGAAAAGTGCTAGAAAATAGGAATAATCAAGATATGGAAATTA